GAATATTATGAACTGAAGAGAGAATAGAGTGAACAGGGTGATAACTCCCCCATGTGCTCCTTTATTAACCAATTAGAAGCCTGGGGGTATATTCTTGACCAAGCTGCTTCAAGGACCTGGCTATGCTATGTGGCGGTGTACCTGGATTATAGGACTATCTGCACAAAATTGCAAATTCTGACAGATAATCCATTGCCATATACAGTATGTAATGTAAACTCTTGCATGATATTTAGTTTGCAAAACCACTGCATAACATAAACAATTACCATTGTTTTAATTAAATACTGATTTCACCTTTTTCCATCCTTTTTGCATCCCAGTGCTGCTGATTTCCTCCAGCTCTTTTTCATCCAATTCCCATCTACATGCACTGTCTCTGGTGTTGGCTGCACTTTATTTCTCTGGACCGGCTTTCAGAGCAATGTGTGCCTAAACGGCCATTTCTAGTCTCAGTCAGGGTTGCATAGGGAGTGCACTGGAGAATGTTGCCACCACATAGCAAGAAGTGTTTGAACAAGGACCTTCATAGCAAGGCTACCAGGTATGCTTGTAAGCTGTAAATAAAAAGAAATGCAACTTTTAAAATGACATTACAGTACATATTAAAACCTATAGACTTACATATATAAGCTCACATGATACTTATTTATTTTTTTAAAGCTAAGTCATTCCTGTAAAAGCAGAGTTTCCATAGTCACCTATCCTGCTATCAGAAATCTTCATGTGAAGTCCACACTGAAATCAACACTTCCCAGAGTGTGGATATCCTGGATCCTCTGCAATTATCACTGGTTTCTCCCTGTGACCTCAACTCATTATAGGATACAAAAGTGAGGTGGAGGTCAGCAGAGAGAACCAAGGAGACCTGTGAGATTAGAGATTGACACCCGGACGTGTTCATCTTCCTGCAGACTTCACATGAAGGTTTCTCAGAATCGGAGAATTGTTTTGTGATGCAGCACACAAGACAGGGTGAGTATGGTTTGGTTTTAAAAACTGTATAGCAACAAGGTCATTTTTAAGCTGAACTCCAAGTATGATCTTAATTGCATACTCACGTTGGTCCACCTTGGGCAAATGTAAGTATCCATATCTCATACCTGAGGGTTGCTGTGGAAGCTGTAGTTGGCACTGATAACAGGGGGTCATTTGTTTGACACTGTCCCTCTTCATAGCAGGTTTTAGTTTCTATTCACTGAATACAAGGCATTCTCTGATTGTTCCAGGTGGAGAAGAGAGGCAATGATTTCACAATCTCCATCTTGTCCAGGTAGAGGATGCCTTGTATTCATTGAAAAAATACAAGATGTTCAGTGAATGGTGGAAATGCCAAGAGAGCAACCCCTTGTGGTCATTGGAGTTGCTGTTTGGCACAAGGGACATCTGGCAATCATTGCAGTAGCGCTGACTATTCCAGTGATTGTTAACTTCCAATGTAGTGTTTTTTCATACTTAAAAGAGAATTTTGGGGTTATAAAAAAACAAACACACATGATCACGTCTATGCTGCAACATCTCAGTGATGCTGCAGCTGTCCCACATTAGATCTAAGACAGAACTGAGCAATCATTCAGTATGACCGCTGATTGTTCAGCTCTCAGTCTTCACAGAACGGAGAGTGGTGACTGTCAGTCGCTGATCTCCACTCTGCCCCTCAATGCTCAATGAAAAACTGGGCTGGAGAGGGGGCAGGCGCAGCTGGCTTTGATTCTTAGCTGCATGCTGAGAGGCAGAGCCAGCTGTCAATCAGGCAGCTTTGGGAATCCCAACAACATGGTCGGGATCCTTCCAGAACCTGAATCGGCCGTGTGACATCAGTTGACAGCAGACTATAGCCTGCTATAAGTGGACTCTTGTGACTCACAAGAAAAGCATGACCAAAAAAACTTTGGCCATACTTCTCTTTTACGATAAAATGGCCATAATATGATTGCAAGCTGGCCAGTCCAACAGGGACCATTCCAATTTCAATCAGTGTGTGGCCTCCCTCGATAAACCAGAGTCAATTATTTAATTGATTTTTGTGAAAAGGGCAAGTCAGACTTCTGTCGAAGGGATGCTCAGGGGCTGCAGCCAATAAGCACCTGCCATTATCTGATGACAATGTCTGGCAGGGGGGATTCCTCCTTCCACATACATGAAAGTAGGTACTACCTCCCAGTGTTATAATGCGGCTTTATCATCTGTGCTTTGACAGAGGCAACTGACTCCTCATCATCCATGTGATCCATATAAGTAAAGAAAAGCCAGCACTCCGGTGTATAGTCTGCAATATTGTGTTTATTGGCAGGTAACAGATTATAGTCACAAATGTCAACGCGTTTTTAGCCAAACTGGCCTTATTCATGAATACGGCCAGTTTGGCTGAAACACGTTGACATTTGTGGCTGTTATCTGTTACCCGCCAATAAACACAATATTGCAGAGTGTACACCTGAGTGCCGGTTTTTCTTTACTTACAGGGATTCCTCCATCCACCTCTTTGTGTAGATGGACGAATTTTTTTCTTTGTTGTCCAGCAGAACAAAGAAAAACTAGCCTTGTATGGCCAGTCTTACATTGTTCCATGCTGAACCAATGTTAGTATGCAATTAAGATCCAAGCCTGGAGTTCAGCTTTAAAGATTGGGTTCCTACAGTATATTCTTTAACTGTTTACCTGGATATCATTGTTGGAGATACACGCTAGTACAAAAACTCCAAATCCCATCTAAGTGGGGCTAGTGTTTGCATTAAACTGATGCGTCCACTGGAATATTGCAGGAATAAATGTAGCACAGTCAAGATTCAAAGATACAACAAACACCACTTTGGAATTGAGCCCCTGCCTGCTTTCAGGATAAATGCCTGTATTGTTTACTTGAGGATCTCAAATACCAGGCAAACGATTCAATTAGACTTTACTTGATGGTGAGCAGACTCCACTGATTGCCTTGTATTGCACAGAAGTTGTTCTAGATCTACATAAAAGAAAACATCTGTCTGGAAATGTCTTCTAAGAAGGATACATAAAAGCTCTTCTGTGCATCCATGAACACACAGCGCGGTGACGTGAGAATTATTGATCAACATGTACAACAGATGTAAACACAAATGCTTTATTCCTATCCTTCGTACAGTCTTTTCATGTTAATGGACCCATACTGCTCCATTTCTTTTTCCACTGAGCTTTGAAAGGTATTGAACACAAAGCTATATGGCTTTTATGTTCTTTCAATCTGTACTGACTTGACAAGAGTTGTTATGTGATTAAACCACCAGTACATTTCTCTTGGAAAGGTAATGTAGAATGAATCCTCATAAGAACCACAAGACCAGCTGGTGTTTCCTTCCTCGATAGGAGGACTAGCCTCCCAAGAACTGGATAAAGCGAAGTATAGAGTCACAGTTTGAGAACCACTGCTTCAGCAGATCTGTTACTTTGCGTGTTGAGTACTTTAGAAGATCCCAGAAGGCACAAAACATTTTTCCTACAATGCATTTATTAAGTGTTCTTGCATGGCAGACCACTTACTGTTATCTCACATATATATTCTTATTATTATAGCCAAATTTACCACCCTAACTCCTCCCACAGTTTTTACACTACATAGACAGTAATATACCGAAACGTGCGGATTGTTCCCGATTGGTGTGCTATTACTTTGTGGAACGTTTCGCAGAATGGTTCACAAAATATCAGCGTTTTTGTGGTGCAAATTGGTCCCATAGGAATGAATGGCGGAATGTTCAAAACTAGAGTGGGAGCTGACAAAAGCTGAAAAATCAGGACATGATTTCTAAACTGCCATCACTCCCTCATTTTCAAGCCCACCTACACAAATGTTATATCAAAACGTTCAGCTATCCCTGCTGCCACTAAAAATGTCCACGGCTAAGCCATAGTCCTGATAGTTTTCACAATATGACCATTTGTTTGCAACTCATGACGCCTATTGACATTCATTGAAACTCCACTCTAGCCACCTCAAATTTGAAGGGCAATTTCTAAACTGCGACTGTGTCTTCATTTTTAGGATATCAGAGACAACCTATGCATCAAAATGTAGGTCTAGGTCTTGTGATTCTCACAATATAAAGCTCTTTGCTGAAGGATTTATCATTTTTAAACTACAACCGTTTGAAGATGGCAACCTCCAGTGAAGTGAGAAAGTTGGAGCAGTTTGTTTTTAACCGCTCTTCTCTGCCCTTGCTGTAGAGTGAGTTGCCATAGGAACCCAAACCCAGGTGTGTGAGCAGGCAGCAGAGTGACAAAAGCTAGAGTTGTAGACTACTGGTGGAGGCAAGAACACTTCACACAATTTCCCCAGAAATTGTAGCTTTTCTAGTTTTTATAGTATTTACAGCATGATTGTGGAAATGTATACTTCTTTTTTGGCTGAATCTTGAGCTCTGATTTCATTTGCTAGGACAAAACTTCTTTAGGCCTCATTTTCCAGCATGTCCCTTGGACAAAAGCCGGTTGTCAGACTGGCTTCTGACAAACAGACTGCTGTGCACAGTGACTGAAATTCAGACGGTTCCCACTGATCCAGCCGATTTTTGGACAGTGCGTACCCAGCTTTAGTTTTTTTTGCAAAGACAAGGAAAGCCATTGTTTTCTTTCACTTTAAAAGACTGGAGAAACATTCCATGTACTTTTCTGAAATAAAATTGTGTTAGATTCAACTGCTTTGTTCTAATAAAGAGTTAAGCTGCCTGTGGATGTTGCCAGGTCAGCAGGTAACCATACTGTCTGGACAGACTGGGTCTATGGAGGTATATCAATGCATAAAACAGTGCATGAAAGAGAAGAAGGCTGAAGCATGTTGTTCTATAGGAGCAGGTCTTAAGCAGAGATCCACTTCATTTCTCAGAAATCTAGATATTGAATGGCCAAATGAACATCTCCTTAAAGCGGAGCTCTACCCAAAAGGGGAATTCTGCTTTAAGGCTTTTTCCCATGCTCCCCGCTAAGGATTGGTGCCTTTGGGGAGCGGGAAATTGACAGGTACCCACCCCCACTTCCGGTGCGATCGCCTAAGGCACAGGTGACAAACTGGTGGCCCTCCAGCTGTTGCCAAACTACAAGTCCCATGAGGCATTGCAAGATTGACAGTTACAAGCATGACTCACAAAGGTAGAGGCAGGATGAGACTTGTAGTTTCGCAACAGCTGGAGAGCCATCTGTTTGACACCCCGTGCTTAAGGTGATCGGAAGCAGAATTTGTCCTCCCCACTCCCTCCCCGTAGTCTTCTGGGACACATGACAGGTTCCAGAAGACTACAGGGCCATTGACAAAACGCATACGCAGTGGGCACCTGGCTGTGAAGCTCTAAGCTGTCACAGCCGGGTGCCCACACTGAAGATGTCAGCGCCAGGGAGAGAAGACAGCTGGTAAAACCAGCCGTGGTGAGGACATCTCTGGACCGAGGGACAGGTAAGTGCCTGTATTTTAAAAGTCAGCAACTACAGTATTTGTAGCTGCTTTTATTTTTTTTTATTCAGCTGGAACTCCGCTTTAAGTTGTTTATACCTAAACCAAATATCCTGCACATAACAGTTAGGCTTTCTGTTAAAACGCAATTGGAAAGCCATAAATCTTGATATATTTCTGCACAGCACCGTGCTATTGTGACAATGCAGCGATTAAGCTGTCCAAGCCTTCCAAGTCCAGAGTTGAGAGCCAGGACCTCCACAGTTTTCTTGGCCGGACTTTGTGAACAGGAATAGAACTTGTCATGTTGTGCTACACTGCCTGTGCCTTGTATTATAACGTCCTTCTTACTAGGCCAGCGTTGTATCACCGCCAATGGGATCCAGCAACCTCCATTGCAGAGGCATAAGCTCCCCGAAGAGGCGAGGGTTTTCTTATCGTCTGCTCGACTTGCTTGAGCATGTGTTCTGAATGCAAAGGTTAATTTGCTTAAGTGTTTTTATGATTGCCTTATTAATTCTCTAAATTGTTTTGAAATGTGCTCTTCGTGGATAATGAAGCGAGTACACGTGTAGAAAATGGCTGTGTATTCACTGCGGATGGATTGATGGAGGGGGAGACAGTTGGAGGTTGCAGATGATTAACAGACTATACCTGGGTTAACGGTTGTATAAAAATAATAAAAATATAATATATATATACATTAATATAATAATGTACAATATACTATATATATATATATATATATATATATATATATATATATGATGTTTCTGCAGTCTTAGATGGTTGTACAGGCTCTGAAATTGCTTAGTGTGATTTCAACGCACGGTGAGCTTCTCACAATGTGCATTAGAAGCTGTGGCAAGTCAGAGATAGAAGTGGAATTCCCGATGCGAAAAAAAAATTCCAAGGCAACATCCCCTAATCAGAAATCAATACAAAAGAATACATTTCCAGTGACTCAATTAAGAAACGCCAGGAACTAGGGATTTATTGTACCAAGGCCATACCAAATAATTGTATTCATATAATAAAAATTCAAAAAAGTTAAAAACCATATGCCAATGGATACAGACCCTCCTGCGCTGCCAGTACCCCTAAAGTGCAAGAGTTGCAGCAAGCACTCAATCATGATACAGTGTAAATATATAAAGTAGAAACTGGTGCTTCACTACTCAAAAGTATTAAATAATAAATAACTGATAAATACCCCACAAAACACTAAAAGCAATCATAAGTGAAAATCACATAAAGACATGACATAAATATAATACACAAATAAATGTAAATAAACTAGACAGATCTTACAATTGCTGTTGGGAAAAGTGTATCTTTTGTCCGTCCAATAAAGAGACGACCTCTGTTGGCAAGGAAGAGTGGGATCCTAAAATGTGAACTGAAGAATCGTGACCAATATTCATATGTGAAATCATATAAATGATTGTGAAAAAAAAAATAAATATACTGTAATATATATATATATACGTTATATATAAGCATATATATATAATAAAACGTGAATACAAATAGAATATATAATATATGAGGAAAAAGAATGTGAATAAATAAAGTGCAAAGTCCAAATCAGTGTGTAAATCTTCAATAGACTGTGAATCAACCAGTGACCACTGAAAAGAATCCTCCACCAGCTAGTGTGCGCACTCACCTCCAACCATAAAGGGTCGCCGTACAGGCTTCAAATGCATATGATCAGCGATGGTATCCTTGCATCTCCCCTTGATAATGTGTCAGAGGAATCCTCTTAAATATCTCCACTGTGGGTGTTACCACAGCCTGGAGGGGAAGTCAAGGGGGAACATAGTTTCTCTATAATTTCCTGTGTCAACGGAGCAGCGTTCCGGTTGGCTATGCTCCAGCCATGTGACCCTTGGCAGCCATCTTGGCTCAGCAGGATTTATATAGGTGATATATACCTGTTAAGGTTGATTGGGCTACTATATCCACTATCTGGTACTTGAGATCAGCCACATATTGCATCGTTGCTATGCCATGTTTGGTATAATTTTTTGAAACACCTCCTGTATGGCGGTGTAACCATTGTGTCAGTGCTGCATATGTATTAGACTTACTCTCACTATATTTGCAGCACTTTAATATTTTGACCGGTCATGACATCTGTTTTTAAGTGATTTTAGGTAAATTTTGATGTATTATCTCATTCTGAGGTGATGGTGAACTGAGGTATTTACCTTATATGTCCACATGTGTATTGCGTAATAAAACATAATATTTTGAATTACTTTGAGTATCACATTCTGTCCATAATGTAACCGCTTCTCTGTGAATCTCTTTTCACGTTTCTCTTGGTTGTATAGTGTTTTGGTTAAGTACAGATAATGTACGTCTAGCGATACATATTATTTTCAAAGCCCCTTATCTTTTCCATTTTTACCAGGATTTATATAGGTCCCTGTCTCCTGGTTTTGGCACGCACTTTTGAGAGTGGCTAGTGTAGGGAGAGAGATCCCACTTATTATGGAAATTAACTAGCAGTAAGGAAAGGCTCCAGATGAGAAGGGATAGGCTTGGGACTTGCTAACCTGGAAAGGAGCCTCTTCACTTGGGACCGAACTGGTTAGGCTGCACTTCAACCTGTGAAACAGACGCTGTCAGCACCTCTCCTCAGCCACATCCTTGACTGCATTGAACTGTGAGTTATTTCCCTAAGTGGCACTCTCCCGTTGGGGTGTTTTTAACATTGGCATTCTTCTTAAAACAAGTTTTAAAATGTTCTGTGTGATTACTGCCACTGCACCATGCTGCACCTCCCCACAGGCAGGAATGCGTTACAGTAGAAGTCAGGTCAAAACCAAACTAAGCGTAGCCTCCCTGACGGTATTCCCGAGTGTAGCTCGGGGTAAAGTTTCAATACCAAAAGCGGTAACCCCAAGCTACACTCAGGATTACCATGCAGCGCTGCTCCGGCATCTGTTCTTCACTTACCTTGTCCTGCGCTCCCGCGATGTCCCTCCTGCAGTGTCTCTGGCAATGTAATCCGGCGAATGCCGGCATCTGTCATCTGGGTTCCGTCCCCTGCGAGTGTCGGGACGTATGGGGGACGGAACGGCGGGAAATTTGAAAATGACAAAAAGTGACATTCACTAAATACACTAAAAATCACATAGTATAACATTACTGTATCAAACCATTTCACATACATTTTGTCCCGAGTGCTTTGTCCTGTGCCCTGCCTTCATTTTTACTGTTCTTTCTGCCTGGAAACTGAGAAACGTCCATGGCGTCCAAAAAGCGTCCCTTTAGGTCAAAATCGGGTTTAGACCAGCTAGAGAACAGCGATAGCAAATCAGAACTACTTGCAGAATTGAGTGATAATGATTTGTGGGGAAATTCGTCATCAGACACTGAAAACGATTTTGCGACTTTGCTCAGTGATGTGCGAACTTGGCACTTTATTTCAAATTTCAGTGTTTTTGGTTTGATTATATTATTGAATTAAATGTATTATTATTATTTTTTATGATTATTTATTAAATTATCATTTATGATTTTGTGTTTCAAATTTTATCATACCCGGGATGTTTACTAGACTCTTGTTCGGACAGATTTCAGTGAGTTATTCCTAAAAATTACAGGCCTACAATAAAAAAATATATATATTTCCATGCAAAACAATGTACCGCTTTGAGCACAGAAATATGGACATAATCAGACCGCTAGGGAGGTTAAACCTGTTCCCACCCCCCCTTCTAAGCCCTATACTGACTACCTTTTACAGAAAGATGCTTATACATGCCTATTCTCAGAGCGCTCTAGTCTGGTCACAGGAGACAGTGCCGACAATGGATGGAATGAACAGGCTTACTATAGGGCATACGTTGTTGCCTGTCCCTCCTGTCCCCAAAGCCAATCACATAACAGAACTGGAGCTCCCTGAAAATAGGTAAGTATACTTATCTTTCCTCTACAGGGTAGATAGCACAAGGCTTAGAATGGGGGTGGAAGCAGGTTTAAGCCCAGTTAGGTTTGGAGCGGACTTCCACTCTAAGGACTTTGTAATGCATGGGAAAGTTTTCAGGATATGTAAGTACAGGTGAACTAACCCTTTAAACTTCTGTTTACACTGAGTCAAATCCGCACTTTAGAAAAATGTCTGGATTAGATGATGAACAAATGCAGATCTACATCCTGGAATCTCGCTAATAGTGACAGATTGGCTCTAATCTGCCATGTGCATCTTTAAAGTTCTGTCTACATATCTCAACGCAGGAAAAGTTTTGCATTCTCCCATAGCATGTTAAAAATAATGAATACAAATGATGTGCTGTGCTTACAACGTTATTATCATCACACTGGCGGAAGGCTTGAAACCTGCTCACCATCTGTTTAGGCTGCCAGGTCTTTGCAAATTTTTGTACTAAAGGCAAAAGGCATTGATTTTAATTGCAGCATTTTTCATACAATCCGTGAAAGAAAAAATTGGCCTAGTTAGAGTAGGGAATAACATTTTAACTATTTTTTGACTTTTTTCCCTACTCATTTCCCAGCATGTTTGCCCCACTTCCATGTCAGGCCCTTTGAGAAATGAATAATTGTCTTGACTAAATAAAGAATTAACAAAAAGAAATAACTAAATAAAAGAAATTAAAGTTATAAAAAGGAATAAAAGGTAGTCTTTATGCTTGGAGATAAGATTTAAAGTGATATCAAAGGCAATTTACAACAAAAAAAAAACAAACAAATATGTCATACTTACCTGCTATGTGCGGTGAGAATTTACAGTGCGATTTTTGTGTGTCAAGTGCGATTCTAATGCCAAAGTATGTAAAATCTCTGAAGAAAAAAAAAAGTGGATTCACAGTAATGTGAACACAGGAATGT